TCCTGAGCTGTAGGCGGCCACACGTTGTTTGTTGGCCCGGTGATAGTGTCGGTATCGCGTCTAGTTGCAGCGATATAGTCCGCTGAATAACTGCATCTAAGCCGTGTTCACAATTCTACTGTCACGCTATAAAATACGGTCCTGGAAATTCGATGGCATGCCGGTTTGGGCGCAGGGCAAGTTCAGGTGGCCTTGATTTGATTCATGGGTCCACTATTAACTGCTGTGACAAAATGCGAGGAAAGACGGCTGGTGGTACAAAACACCGCGACGGAAGCTTCTTGGGAGCGCAACAAGCTGGACGGGTCGAACGTCTCATGGCTGCGAATCTTGCGCAGCTGCTGCGAGTTTCCAGTACGAGCAGCACAAATCTCTGTTGCGGGGCGATGTACGGAGGATATCGCTGACGGCATTGCCAGCGTGTGGTCGTGTTTAAGGTGTCTATAAATGGCGCCTTCCTGTCGCCGCGCGGCTCAGACCTGTCATCCTAAGCCGCTATCACCAAAATCAGTGTCGGGGCGCCCCTGGTCTGGACGCAACCGCGCCCCCTGTCCGGACTCGTCAGCCCGGCGACGCGCCCGCTTCAATTCATCACCCGCCAACCAATCCTTCGTGTTCACAACATGCTGTCGCCGCCCCCGCCCCCGGACCACGTGTCGGATTACATCAAAGCCTCCCTACGCCACCGGTGGCGACCTGCGCACGAGCGCGCGGCAACATGAAACGCGACCTCCGCCAATGGGAACCCGCACACGGTGGTCCGCGGGGCGACGCCAGAGTCGCCCCTATTCATGAGATATTTTGAGGGTAGAGGGCTGGTGGGCGCCGGCAGAACCGAGCGACACCAGGTAACGCTAATCCAGGCGAGGGTGGGGGGCTGGGACGTCGCCCTATACGAATGTTTTCACCTATTCTGGATTTTCGTGCCAATTTTCAGATTAAGCGGCAGATCACTCCCAAGATTGTCGCCTCAGACGATTGCTGGGTGGGGAAGGCGAGCTCTGCGCTTCTGTCGTGGTTACTGGTTGAGTGGCACTGTGCGTCCGTGCACTTATTGCACTGAACCGTGCACTTATTTCATCCACGACATAAGTCCTGGACCTACACCTGTAGCCACGCAAGGTGGCCACTACACCAACTCATCCGGCAATCAATGCAAATGAAAGAAGGTCAAGGGAAAACAAGGTAAGAGAATGAGTCAAGGCAACACCATACAAATGAACCCAAACCTGGATACGGCGGTCCTCACAAGGTTCAGAAGCACTTGCATTGTAGTGAGTTAGAAAGGTAGGCGTCTGCATAAGTGAGCTAACGTTATGTTTTTGGCGGAAAGCTGAGTATAAGAAAGGCATCGACAGGGCCGAAAAAGGCATCGCAAGAGTCGAGCCTAGTTAGATCAACACGCTGACGCGGGTAGGTGCAGTGCAGGCAGACCAAGACCAAACAAGTCGTCAGTAGAGCCAACACAGAACGTTAAGGCTTCAGTGGTCACATACAAGGTACTACAGATGTATTTTATTTTCTTCATACTCCAGTCGCGAGGGCCCGCGTTATGCGGCCGCTTTGCAGACGTACGATTTTGTTCACCTGACCGACACAGCGAATGTGAACCTCTTCACGGATATATAAGCTTCCCGGCTATAAATCCTAGCCTCCACGTACTGCAATAATATGTCATCGTATGTCTGGGGGGTCCCGGCGAACATCGCGAAGGCACTCATCGATGCTTTGGCCAGTGACAGGAATACTGGTTCGGAGCTTTTCACTCGGGCAGTTTTAGCTGGCATGCGTTTGCTCTCCAACAGTTCTGATTGTTTTTGCCAGAGTTGAAAGATAACGTGCGACAAGGACGATATCCAGCAGTAAGTCCCTTCGAGCTGCGTGTGCTGGTGCTTGTGTAAAGCTGTTTTCACGCTGGTTGGACTCAAATTTGCCGCACTATCTGGTGGATAATATCACTAGGCTGGAAAGCGGCCAGAAAAGTATAACCTTCAAGGGTGGGAAAGGTGAAAAAACTGACTTGCACAAGCATAATATCCAGTGCATGCAAAATATATTACGAACAGAGAAGTGCATACGTTCCGCCGCATCACAAGCCTAGGGTGCTACCCACTGCGCGTTTTAAAAGGATTACAGTCATATTTCACAGCCCTAGGAGCAGCGTGTTGTAAGGCTATACGATCGCTGCACGTTTCGTGTGGCGGCGTGTCGTAAGACTACGCGATTTGAAAATCGCTGCCTGCCAGTCTCGATCCTCGCACGGGGCAGATTCAACTGGACGTTTTGACGAGTGTTTCGAGATCGAGGTTTTGGAATTCGCCGTAGAAACGAGAGCATATGTTTCGCAAGCGCCGCTAACTTTATGCAGAAATTCAAACGAGCTCCAGCGCTCAGAGCTGACAAGTGGTGGGTTCAGTTCAGTTCAAAGTTCCGAAAGCTCTGGAAGTTCGGCTCAAAGATCCGACACAGGGTCCAACTTACGCTTGCCATTCATGAACAAAGACAAAATATAGAATGTTGTAGAGACGTTGCCTGCTTTTTCTCTGTGCTGTCGCCAAAATGTGACAAGCGATCCGGATACGCGAGATGACCAAGGCCTTTATCACATGTAGAAGCACAGGTGGAACATGAAGTCACACGTCAGCCTGGCAATGAGCACACCGCTGTACGTCTTTGACGAGAACACGTAAATTGAGTCCCATATGATATTCTTCTCAAAAAGTACGCCAAGATTTTTCGCCACGTGTCTCGCACACGGTGCATCCCTACTGCAACGGATTGGGATATCTTATCGAGGCTATGCCTATACGATTCAAAGGGGAAACAGAGACGAGCTGTTTAGTTTTTCCTGCGTTTACTATCAGACCATTTAGCGTGGGTGGAGATAGGTATGCAAGGACATGAACCCTGATGTATGCTAGTGCTGAGCTATGGCAGCAACGCTGCTGTCAGAAACTGGAATTTGAAATTTGACGGCGTACTATTAATAGGGGAGAGAAGGGAGGGTTGTGCTAGGCTTTATTCTAAGTGCCCTTAGATACTGACTACTGTAGGTGGACTGGCTACTGTACTAAGTTTTTATATCTACAGACAGCAATAATCTCGGGCTACATGAATGATGGTAAAACTGTGGAAAGCACGCCTTGGTTTTTGGTGAATAATTTCTAAATAAACCCTTTCCAAAGGATAAAACCTGCCTCCAGCCTAGGGTGGGAAATTGAGTCGATATTTCCTTTGCAAGTAGTAGGTTGTATCGTGAGCGAGCTGAATGCTTTATACGATATGTGCTCAGAGTACGCTCGCCCCGGCTATGTCGTCATTTGTCGTGATTGTGACACGACAAATTTCTGTCCCTTTTTGGATAGTCGGTATTTGTTCTACAACTACTGTCACCTCGGCTTCGGTAACCCAGGGAGGAATTATGGATGCACATAGCTATTGTAAATGTGGATGTTTGTCTGAATAATAAAGGTTATGGCAATCACGTCTGTCGATCACTGACAGTAAATCTATCAATGACATCATTGCCAGTAAATCAGTCAATAATATCCGTGTCGGTACATCGCTTCTCTGATACGACATGCCGCATGCACAATTGATACAACATCTACGGTCAGAGATCTTGAAAGTTTGCGCCACCCCGAAATCTTTGGATAGCGGACGCCAAACATTGTTCGGTATGTGCGAGACATGCACATCCCACCACTCAGTACAGGGCTCAGACTAGGCTGGTTACACTGGAAGATCTTACGCACAAATTGTCAACGATCGCTAGATATCTCAACGATATGAAGGGTTTGATGCGCTCACCCCAAAACGCGCGCTCGCATGCAGCCAGAAGTACAGGTGAAAGAGAGAGAGAGAGAGAGAGAGAGAGAGAGAGAGAGAGAGAGAGAGAGAGAGAGAGAGAGAGAGAGAGAGAGAGAGAGAGAGGGAGAGAGAGAGAGAGAGAGAGAGAGAGAGAGAGAGAGAGAGAAAGAGAGAGAGAGAGAGAGAGAGAGAGAGAGAGAGAGAGAGAGAGAGAGAGAGAGAGAGAGAGAGAGAGAGAGAGAGAGAGAGAGAGAGAGAGAGAGAGAGAGAGAGAGAGAGAGAGAGAGAGAGAGAGAGAGAGAGAGAGAAGAGAGGAAGAGAGAGCGTACTGTTGTGCCCTAACTGAGTGACTTAAGGCTGCTACCCGCCCGTAGATTTAGAATAAATTGACCTGGTACTACTTGGACATAATTTTGCTTGAAATCGCCCCACTCTCCACTACCACTCGCGTAATAGGGGATGGAGGTATGCGCCATCGACCAACATTTGGAATAGGAGCTAGCTGAGCAGAAACATTGGAAGAGAACGGCCCTTTCGCCTAAGGGAGGGAATCTAGAGAGCTCCATTACGAAGGGATACGTACAGGACAAGCTAGAGGCCAGGACATGTCTTCCTGTTGCATGGGTGCATTTTATTCTAGTAGATAATCCAGAGGTTCCCTATCTTAAGACTCAGGTCCTGGTAGCGCGGTTGTCAGCCGTCGTCATCCATTTTTGAATTGGGCAGAATTTAAACAGAAGTTATGTTTTATAGCACAACCTCCCGATTTGGGTTCCTAAGATTTTTGATTAAGCTGGCGGCGCCTGTGATCCCGTTGTCCATACATGATTCCAGCCGCGGCCCGTTTGATCGCGCTCGCGCTCGCGTCGCGCCCGCCCCCGCCCGGGCCTCGCTCGCCGGGGGTGGGTTTTAAAAACCTGGCCAAACCGCGCCGAGAGGGTTGCCGGCCGGCTCGCACGGCGCCCATTGGCTGGCGGCGTCACGTGACCGGCGGCTGGTCAGGCGGCGGCCCGGTTGCGTGCGGCGTCGGCGGCGCCAGCTGAGCGGACGGCGGCGGCACATGGCGGCGCCGCGTGCGCCCGCCTGCAATATTCATCGCGGCGGCGGACACGGCGGAGCGCGAGCGCGGCCGCGGCGATTGCGGCGCGCGCGGGACTGACGTGACGCGCGCGCGGCGCGGCGGACGCTGCGATGCCGGCCGGCGGCCGCCGGTGACGGAGCGTGCGGGCGGCGACAGTGCTATGCTGCGGCATGGCTGCTGCTGAGACGGGCTTCATCGGCAGCCAGCCGTCGATGGCAGAGTATATGTGCTCCATCAACCCGCTGCTGCAGGAGGGCATGCCGGAGATGCCGCCGCTCGGGCCGCCCGCCTTCATCGACGACATGGCCGGCGGCGGCCTGCAGGAGGTCACCGAGTACCCGTGGATGAAGGAGAAGAAGCCGCAGAAGAAGGCGCAGCCAGGTGAGTGGGGCAGGCGCTGGACCTACGTCAGGTGCTGGGACTGTAGTAGGCGCTGGGGCTATGGCAAGGCCAGGGTTCTTCTAAAGGCCCTGATCGTGCGGGTCAGGAGGACTCTGTGTGCGGTGCAGGCTTCCGGGCCTGTCTCGTTAAGGGTGGCAAAAAGCTCTGATCCTGCTACTCAGTGCCTTCTTTGATTTGCCCCAGCCTCCTCCAACGTTAACCACAACCGGTGGCCCCGTAAAAAACGCGGCTCGGTTTTGCGTGGAATGCTTCAGAAGACCAGTTGAAGGGTCTCACAAAGATAACGACATGCAAGCGTCAGTGATGGAGTGGCTTGCGGATGTCCATAATTTTCTAATGCCAGCTTATTGGATATCGTTGATGGGGTGCAGGGTCTTTGTCACTTGCGAATCAAGGTATAAAACATGTTAAATGCTTGCCGCGGCTGCTTACTTGTAGATGGAAGCATCTAGAAAAGCATAGTTTGGCATGATGTTTGCAGATTTCTTTTAGTTTCCTAAGCACCTCTCCGTACAAAACTTTGATGTTCTGCTGCATCCGGATCTTGAGAGCACTGCTACCTGGTCTTTCGGTGACGACCGCATTGTTTCCTATGCATTGGACAGCATCACTGAGGAGGCGTATGTAGAGTACATAGCCTCCCACTAAGATAACAAGTAACGTACTTGTGCAACACTTTGCATGCTTTCATCTATCCAATGAAATGGCCAACTCAAATGTATTCCTCACCATCACTGCAACAAAACTGCAGGCATGGAGCAACACTTACAGAAACCAGTGGCTCGGTCGAAATCCGACCACCAAGACACCATGACTTTCGGTTTCACAGACATTCTTGGCGATGAATTGTGGCCCTGCTGCACGCTCCCCGTGACTTGGCCGCGGTCGTGACGGTGCTACATCGGAGGTTCGCACGCGCTTGCTCGCGGGCTGTCCCTGACTCGGCCCGTGGCAGGTCATGCCAGCGAAGCCGTCTTTTGATTAGACTCAGACTTACGCTCAGCCCATTGAGGTGTGCCGTTGCGTTTATCCTTCGACGTTCATTTCATGATGCATCGCTCGGTTCGACTGACCGCCGGCGGTCAGCGGTAGTGGGATTCGAGCCCAGGACCTGTGTTTGTTGAGCTCCATGGGCGTGCGCTACGTATTACGCGGCGGGAGATCAATCCACCTCAGGATCCAGGCAATCTGCGTCAGTTGCTGTGAAGTTTTGAGAACGCAGCTGATAGGCCGCGTCACGAGCGGGAGAGGCCAAACCGTGGCGAGTTGAGTGGCATCGCCACGACCAACATGGGCCACGTGAGCGTTCTCAGTGCGGGCGCGCGGTGTCTCCGGCCCAGCCTGGTGGACAGCTGGATCTAATTGCCCTATACATACATGAATTAATAGCTTTGCTAGAAGCGTCCACATGCAGACTGTTTTTCTGTCTGGAAAAAAAACGGAAACGCACCCTGGATGCTGACGCAAGCAGGTTATGAACCCAGTCATTGCTCAGACCCTCCCAAGGGTGGGTTTTCAAATGTGTTCAAAGGGCTTGTATTTGACGAAGTGGATACTCGTTTTTCCATGAGAACTTGGACTGCGAATGATGGATTGAGCCTTATTGTTTGATGGCGCAGTACCAGACGGTTGACAAAATAAATGACAAGCAGCGGATCAATTTATTTGCGCGGTATTGTTTGAGCCCAGGATAATGACACATAGGTGATGGCTTACGCACGGGCGTTGACAGTGTCAGAGATGTGTTGTATGCCATGAACTTCAACAGCCAGAACCCTAAGTATGCCAGCATTAAGGCCAGCAGGGGCAGATCGGGCCTAGACCAATTACTTGACGTGAATAAGACAGGCATACAACCATTGTTGTTCGTTGCTGCTAGCACCGAATAGCAAATCATTGACCTGCCGTCGGCTATGGTTGGGTCAGGACGGGAGATGCAAATGTCAGTACAAATGCCTCAATACCCCGTATTTCAATTGGTTATGCACGCATTTTATGCGTTAGAGATAATCATGCTCTGCTAATAGTGGAACTACTTCCTCGAGGCTCAGAACTATTGGTCTTTGTACGCTTATCATCAGTTTATCATCATTTGTCTTTGTACGATCCGTTTGCGTCCAATTATTGAGTCACCTCTCAAGCTGTTAGCTTGGCATTTAGTTTATTTCGCATGAAGCTAAGCTCGTACAAGTAGCCTCTGATAATTGCGATAAAGAAAGAACGTTGCGTTGCAATATTCTGGTTTGTGATTGTCTGCGATTTTGTGACCAATAGCCTAACATTACAGACGCATTTGCAGATGTCAAATATAGCACTGATTTCCACGTTAGCTAACGTATCAAGTAAAGTAATTGAAGTGAAACACATTACGTAAGGTAAGTTCAGTTCACGATCGCTGAATGTTATTCTTAAACAATAAGCTGATCTGAAAAGTTTTTAGTATCAAGAATAACACTGGCTTGAAATGTGATTTTTCATGATGCAGATGCTAAGTAGTGTTTCTTGGCATTTTTCCCGTTGAGGATGAATCCAGTTTTGATACTGCGAAAATAAAAAAGGAGACCCAATTAGCATAAGTCATGTGTAGTCCCTTCTTGTGAACAGAATCATAAAAGCGGCTGATGGGTCCAGGTAAGTGTTAAATACAGCCATTCTACTCAGTCAACACAAACCAAATGAAATGAATGAAGTGTCAATATCTCGCTCCTGCTTGGACACTCCATGTGCGTGAATAAAATCACTACCCTCTTTTTGGGTGCTGTAATACAAATATATATATATATATATATATATATATATATATATATATATATATATATATATATACAACGCATGAGTTAGCGTAGTATTTCCCAGCCCTTCAAAGGTCATAACCATGAAGATTAATCGAATTATGATATCCCTCCCAACTAAATAATAAAACGGAACCGACATATACCCTGCATATCATTATCTCTTACTGTGGACGTGATCATGCGAGCGGCTTACCAGTCCAGACAAGTGTCATATGCAACGATTTTACTCGGGCAACACAAATTGAATCAGATAATTGAACTTTCAATGCATCACTAAGCGCCTGAAAAACGCGTGGAATCACCGTCCCTGTTTCTGGCTACCATCGAAAATATTGTCGGCTCGATGTGTGTGGTGTGCGGTAGCGCATGTGGCAACACCACTCTCCATTCAGCACCTACCTGTTGGCACTGCCTGGAAGGCGGCCTTTCTTGACCTAGACATGATTCGGCTATATCGTACAACCCTACGCCCATCCCTGAGACACTTGTGTTTCCCCTTGGGGATTCCAGGCCCCGAAAATGTCATTGCTAGACAAATTGCAAGAGCACGAATCTCGTCCGAGCACGATTCAGGTTTGCATGACAATTTTGTGGCTGACAGCTCGTGCGCTGCTTACCCTGATTTCGGTTTCGGAAAAAGGCAGCATTGGGGTAAGTGTCGCATCACGCACATCTCAGAATGGCGATAAATTCGGCTTACGTTTGACCGAACAGGAGCGTCCAGCTCTCTAGGAACTCCAGAGCATTCAGCAGTAACGGGGGAAACTCAACAGCACTGTTGTTAGTCAAGCGCTGTTGCCATATCGAGTAATTGATATAACTCAAAATAATAGTATTGCCGCTTTGACCCGGTGCTCTTTAGGCTTAGCCGCATGAATATCATCTGGACATGCATGACATAGTTGGTTTGTGCAGCACTTGAGATATATGAGGGGGTGCCTGCAAAGTAAACAGAACAACTCTACCAAAGACAGCCAAGTTGAAAGCACGTCAGAGAGCACAGGCACGTGCATCGGTCAGCCCTCACCACCCGCTGACGAACCTATCAATCACAAAACTGCCCGGCCTGCCGCACGCTGCCTGCTTGCGTCCGCCCCAGCAACTCCCTGCAGGGCCCGCGCCCGCTGTCACGACCGCCGGGGCTGACCCAGCTCGGCGACCCACAAAGCCCAGGGTCGCGGCCGGTCGCGCGCCGCGCCAGGTGAGCGCGACACGGCGGCGCCGGCCGCCGGCTCGGCCGGGTCTGATTGATGGGTGTCGGGCGCGGTCCTAATCAGCCGCGTCATGAACCGGCCCAGGTGCATCCGCCGCTGTTTAAAGGCCGGCGCGGGCGCGGGCGCTCGCGGATCCATCAGCGCGACACGCGGCCGGCCGCCGCCCGCGCCGGCGCGTCACATGACGCGCGTCATCGGCAGGCACGCTGACGCCTCGCGCCGCTCCCGGCGCCGACCAGCCGTGATGGATGCGTTCCTCTGACCGGGAGTCGCCGCCGCCGCTGCCGCCGCCGCCGCTGCCGCCGCCGCCGCCGCCGGCCGCGCCGCCCAGGCATTAGTCATTATTCGGCGGCTGTAAAACGCGCGCGGCCGGCGCGCCGGGCGCCGGGCCCCGCTCGGGCCCCGCCCGATCTTCCGCGCCGTCGCGTCGCGTTGGACGCGATGCCGCGCCGCCGGCGCCCTCCATTGCTAAGCGGGCCGGCCCCATCAATCTGACGTTTCGGCCGGCTCGGCGCGCCGCGCTCGCCTCACCGCGCCGCTTTTTGTCTATCAATTGTGTACTGGCCGGCGGCCTGTTGTTGGCCGGCGCACCCACGTGCGCCCGGCCGCCGGCGCATGCATTTTCATGACTGGCCATCTCGGAAACGGAGCCGGCCTAATCTCACTTTCAAATCGCAATGCGTCGGTGCACCGAATCCGCAGAATATAGCGACATTACCGTGCGCCGCGTGATGGATGGCCGAAATTGCGGGCGGGGCGGCGGCGGCGGCGCCGCGTCTGGCCGCGCTGACGAGCGCCCGAAAATAATTCAGCGGTCTGCACCAGTTGGCGGCAGGGAGTCGGCGCGGATGATTGTCCGAAAATTTCGCGTCGTCTTCCGACGCGTCCATCCATCAGGGCACGTGGCGCGCGCGTCGAAAAACGCGCCGGCCGGCATGTCGTGGCCCGGCCGGCGCCGCGGGCACCGGTT